TTACAGGCCAGTATCACCCATACACACAGTAGCAAAATTCTTCCCATAATATCAACACGTTAAATACATCAAAAATGATCATGTACCTTAGAACAAATCCAGCAAAAGATGTGCAAATCCTCAGTGGAAAAATCATAGAAATGTATTAAGTGAGGGCCGGCATTGTGGCATAGCAGGTAAAGCCGCTGCCTGCAGTGCCAGCATCCCATATGGGTGCCGGTTCGAGTCCTGGCTGCTCCACTTCCAATCCAGCTCTCTGCTGTGGGCTGGGAGGACAGTAGAAGATGGCCCAAGTCCTTGGGGCCCTGCACCCACGTGGGAGACCCAGAAGAAGCTCCTGGCTCCTGGCTTTGGGTCGGCTCAGTTCTGGCCCTTGTAGCCATTTGAGGAGTGAACTAGCATATGGAAGACCTCTCTCTCTCTCTCTCTGCCTCTGCCTCTGCAACTCTGCCTTTGAAATAAATGAATAAATCTTAAAAAAAGAAATGTATTTTGTGAAATTAAAGAACTAAACAACTTAGAGTGTTTCAGCACATGGCCTGAAAAAACTTGATCATGCAAAAATGTTTATTGTTGGGGCAGGCTCTGTGGTGCTGCAGGTTAAGTCACCGTCTGTAGCGCCAGCATGCCATGTGGGTGCTGGCTTGAGTCCCAGCTGCTCCATTTCCCATCCAGCTCCCTGCTAATGTGCTTGGGAAAGCAACAGATGACGTTCCAGGTGCTTGGGGCCCTGCACCCACATGGAGATGTGGAAGAAGTTCCTGGCTCCTGGCTTTAGCCTGGCCCACCCCTGGCCATCGCAGCCATTGGGGAGTGAACCAGCCAATGGAAGATATCTCTCTGTCTGTCTGTCTGTCTGTCTCTGTGTGTGTGTGTGTGCGCGTGCATGTGTGTGTAACATAAATAAATAAGTAAATCTTCAAAAAAATAAAGTGAAATAAAGCAGTCACATGCACATCCCCTTTTAAAAATGCTTATTGTCTACAAATTAATCTACAGAATGAAAGCAAATTAAATAAATATCCAAATGACACTGGGGGGGTGGATATCTGAAAAGTTGATTCTGACATTTCTATGAAAATGCAAGGAACCAAAAATAGCCAAGACACACAGGAAAAAAGAAAAGTTAGAGGATTTGTTTTATTGAAGACAGGTGATAAATAGAGTGAGAAAGATAGTTCTTACTTAAAAGCCTATTAGACTTATAAAACTGTAGCAGTTAGGACAGTGTGGTATCAGTGCAATTATAGACTAATAGGGGCCAGTGTTGGGGCGCAGTGGGTTGAGCTGCCACTTGTGACACTGGAATCCCATATGAGCACTGATTCGAATCCTGGTTGCTCCACTTCCAATCCAGCTCCCTGCTAATGCACCCTGAAAAGCACCGAAAGATGGCCCGAATGCTTGGGCCCCTGCACTCACGTAGGGAATCCAGCTGGAGTTCCAGGCTCTGGCTTCTTCCATCCACTGGTTTACTCCCCAAGTGGCAGCAATGGTCAGGGTGGGACAGGGCCAAAGCCAGGAGTCAGGAGCTTCAACGAGGTTCTCCCACATGGGTGCAGGGGCCCAAGCACTTGAGCCATCTTCTGCTGCTTTCCCAGGCACATTAGCAGAGAGCTGGATCGGGGAGCAGCAGGGACACAAACTGGCATCCATATGGGATGGCAGCGCTGTATGCAGTGGCTTAACCCACAATCCCTCAATCCCTATCTCTTTATCTCTATCTCTGTATCTCTAAATCTCCCTCTCTCTGTAACTCTGCCTTTCAAGTGAATAAATAAACCTTTTCTTAAACATATATACAGGGGCTGGTGCTGTGGCTCACTTGGTTAATCCTCCGCCTGCGGTGCCGGCATCCCATATGGGCATGGGTTCTAGTCCCGATTGCTCCTCTTCCAGTCCAGCTCTCTGCTGTGGCCCGGGAGAGCAGTGGAGGATGGCCCAAGTGTTCAGGCCCCTGCACCCGCATGGGAGACCAGGAAGAAGCACCTGGCTCCTGGCTTCGGATTGGTGTAGCACTGCCAGCCATAGCAGCCATTTAGGGGAGTGAACCAACGGAAGGAAGACCTTTCTCTCTGTTTCTCTCTCTCTCACTGTCTATAACTCTGTCAGATAAATTAAAAAAAAAAAAACATATAGACAAACAGAGCACCAGAAGAGATTAAAGTTCCCAGGTCAAGAACCATGGCTGTGATGAAAGGGTAGGCAGTTCCCTTCAATGCAAGAATTCGTTAGCATGTGTAGATGTGGATTGGATGCTTTTTTCTTAAAGGTAGACACAATAGGGGCCGGGGCTCTGATGTAGTAGGTAAAACCCGTCTGCAGCACCGGCATCCCATATGGGCACCAGTTCGAGTCCCACCTGCTCCAGTTCTGATCCAGCTCCCTGCTAATGTGCCTGGGAAAGCAGAAGAGGATGGCCCAAATTCGTAGGCCCCTGCACCCACGTGGAGACCTTGAAGAAGCTCCTGGCTCTCAGCTTTGGCCTGGTCCAGATCCAGCTGTTACGGCCATCTAGGGAGGGAACCAGTGGATGGAAGACCTCTCTCTCTCTCTCTCTCCCCCCCACCCCGCCCTCTGCCTCTCTATAACTCTGCCTTTCAAATAAATAAATGAATCTTTTTTTTTTTTAAAGTGAGCAACAATAATGGGAAGAAAAGGAGGCAGTTTTCATTTCCCTGGCAATTTTTCCCAACAAGCTCTCAAGCAGGGTCTGGGAACACGCAGCACCACTGGGAAAAGAGGCACCTGCCACAGATGAGGTAGGTGGCTTATCAAGGACATGAGTGGGTGGGAGGGAAAGGCCTGTCCTGAGCATGGAGTGATCTCCAACCACGTTTCAGGTCTGCTTTTTCAGAATCATGTCTAGGAGTGGGCTCATTTTATTTAGAAAATGTAAGAATCCGACTTTGCACCTTCCCTAATAAGGCAGTGAATGACTTAAAATATATGGAGGGGGTGGGGCCAGCGCTGTGGCACAGCGGGTTAAAGCCCTGGCCTGAAGTGCCAACATCCCATATGGGCGCAGGGTTCTAGTGCCGGCTGCTCCACTTCCAACCCAGCTCTCCGCTATGGCCTGGGAAAGCAATAGAAGATGGCCCAAGTGCTTGGGTCCCTGCACCCACATGGGAGACCCGGGAGAAGCTCCTGGCTCCTGGCTTCAGATCAGCAAGGCTCTGGACATTGTGGCCATCTGGGGAGTGAACTAGTAGATGGACAACCTCTCTCTCTGTCTCTACCTCTCTCTGTAACTCTGTCTTGTAATATGTTAAGCCTCCACCTGCAGCGCCAGTTCATGACCTGGCTGCTCCTCTTTCAGTACATCTCTTTGCTAATTCTCCTGGAAAAGCAGTGGAAGATGGCCCTAGTGCTTGGACCCTCACCCATGTGGGAGACCCAGAAGAAACTCCTGGCTCCTGGCTTTGGATCAGTCCAGCTCTGGCTGGTGTTGGTGTGGCTATTTGGGGAGTGAACCAGCACATGGAAGACCTCTCTCTGCCTCTTTTTCTGTTTGTAACTCTACCTCTCAAATAAATAAATCAAATCTTTAAATATATATATATATATATATTTGAGAGTAAACCAAATATATACTATATGTGTATATATTATATATCTGGGGAGTGGACCAGCAGATGGAAGATCTCTCAGTCTTTGTCTCCCCCTCTCTCTATAACTTTGCCTTTTGAATAAAAATAAATAAATTTTTCAAAAAATAAGACATATGGAGGATAGGGTTCTGAACCAAGAGATCTGAATGGGCAACTCCCCACAGCCTACTGTGTGCTTCCTCTCTCACAAGCCCATCTCTGAGCCCTGTTTTCTCCATCTCTCATAGAATGAGGGGAAGCCACAGAGCCAGGGCCACCACCTGTGGCAGCGGGTTGTTGATATGAGGCCTGAGTAATACGGGGCTGCTACAGTGATAGGATTTAATAGTAATGAGTACCTAATATATACCAGCATTGTATAAGCTTTACCGCATTTTATCTTCAAAAAGCCCTCTTACAACACAGTAGTTAAGAGAGGGCCCTGAGACTCAGAGATGCTAAATGACCTACCTGGTGGCGTGCGCCTGCATAGCAGGTGTAACCAACAAAACCATGCTCTGCTGCCTCATCAGTCTCAGAATCCTACAGTCGTGGGCCACTTGGACACGCTCTTGCCTCAAGGGGCAGAATAAAATCAAAGTGAGTGTTTTCTCCACTCTTGGTCACTCATCGCCACACCTGGGGGGACAGGTCTTCCCCAGGGCTGCATCTCAGTAGCTGCAGGGAAGTGCTGTCCGACCCTGGCCACCCAACCTTGAATGCAGCACTGAATCCACTGTCCTTGTGAGAGATCAAGGGACTGGCCCAACCCATGTACTTCAAAGTGGGCCCTCGCCCAGAGCCTTCACAGTCCGCAGCTCCTGGCCAACATTTGGAGAACAGAGGCCGTCGGAGGCCGTCTGGGGCCATCCTGGCAGTATTGCCTCCAGCAGGGCCAGTAGTCCCCTCCCGGAAGAGGAAGCTGTCAGTCACAGCTTCTGAACTCCCGCCCACTCTTGGTCAACAGTTGATGCCTTGAGACCCTTCGAGTCTCGAAGCCATGCCCAAAAGTCCTTGCGCACACCCTTCCCGCGTGGGAAACGAACACCACGTCCCTATGCTCCGAGCTCTCTGTGGGACTCCAGAACGTTCCCTGTCATTCTCATGCCAGTGTTCATTGGAAGTAAGAGGGCGAGTGCTCGGGGCTCGACCGGAGGAGCTGGTCTTTGGCCCTGCACTGCTGGTGGGAAACATTTGAGGCTTGGCAGAACCTCTTCATCTCTCTCTCTCCCTTTCTCTTCTCTCTCTCATATGTGGAAAAGAATACGGCAGTGAGCAGCCCCAGGGCTGGTCTTCCCCTAGCCCTTCAAACTCCCTTCCAGAAAGCCTTGGGCTGGAGGCCAGCCCCACCCACTGCTGCCCATCGCTATAAAGGAGGCTCTCAGAGCCACCTGCAGAGGCTCCCGCCCTGCGACCTGCTCAGCCATGAGCCTCCCTCTCTCGGGGCTGCTCTGTCTCCTGCTACTCTGGCTGCCCTCAGGTAAGACAGCCGATCTGGGTCAGAACACGAACGTGGAGGTCTCCCGAGGACTGAGGCCTGGGACATGACATGGGCATCACCCTGGCAAGGGGGCCACAGTTCCGAATAGGCCAGTGGGCTGGCCGCAGGGGGCAGGGGGTGCAGGCGGGTGGGCGAGTGCTGCCTATCTGCAGCTCCTCACGCAGATCTGCCAGTGCCTGGGACAGGAGGGTCGGTTTTGGGGTGCACCTGCAGAGTCCTGCTTCCACTCACATTCCTCCGGTGAGCTTTGGACTCAGGCGCTTGGCTGGGATGTGACAGGAGTGGGGAGGATGGGGCGCAGAGGAGAAATCCCGAGACAGTACAGCCCGTTCCCAGGAGGCAGATCTCGGACTACTTCCAGCCTTTTGGAGACCAATTATGCATTTCCATCTTTCCTTTTTTCTTTTTTCCCCCTTCAGGGAACGCTATGTTTGGGAATGATGGAGTAGAAATTAAAACTTGCACCGCACTCCAGGGCAGGTGTTTCTTCGGCTGTAGACCAGGGTGGACCTGGATTGCTTTCTGTCACAATATACTGTCTTGTTGTAAGAAAATGGAAAACCTTGCACCCCCCCAAGCCAGAGATTTTTGACCCTCACCTCATGGGTCCAGTTAAAGAGATCTGTGAATGGCTGAAAGGACTCCCTCTGAATCTCTTTGTAAAGATCTAAGAGCTCACTAACGGGTCCTGGGTAGTGCCTGGGGCACCAGCTGTCACCAGCTTCCTGACGAAATTCCACCACTATTTGGTAAAACGAGGACTGCAGTGACCCGCACCTCCTATTCAGTTTTCTGCCCCCCCATCTCCGATCACTATTCCCGTTTCAAAATAAAAGTCAACTGACTACTACAAGCCTGCTGGCCAGAGGATGTCGCATATTCTGAGCATGAAAACGATGGTTTGCCACATGCCACTCTTTCAAGTGGTTTAAAATGTTAACGCACTCAATCCTCCCCACAAAATCTATGATTTCTCCTCTCTTGCACATGAGGAATCTCCTCCAAGGTCGCACAGCTAGTCAGAGTTAGGTAGCAACGGGGCCCTCCACGCCCACCCTGTGGCTGCCTAAGCTATGATGCTCCTGCTTGCCGAGTCACGCTGCTGGCTCCACACCCAAGAGCTTTGACGTGGCAGTTGCAGTGGTACCCGAAGCTGCCACACCTCAGACACTGCTACTCTCCCCACTGTGCTGAACGCAGTGCATCGCTCACCCCCACACCCAGACACCAGGGGGTGCACTGGGCCAGCCATTGCACCCTGCTGCCCCCGCCAGTGTCCCCACCTCCGATCTTTGTCAAAACCCTTGCCGTTCTCTGTGAAGACGAGTGCGGCTGACTCTCAGACCCCGCCTGTTTCACAGAGCGCCGAAGGGGACACTGGAGTTTTCTGCTCTGCTCAACAGGGAGCACCTGCCTGCCCAGAGCACCCCAACCCTCTTCCCCCCAATTCCAGCCAAAAAAGAAAACCCGGAGTTTGCCCTGACTCCACCTGGCTAGACGCCTAGGCACTGTGCTTTATCGGGCACTTCGGACACGTCTGGAGAAGCGCCATAGTATCGGGCAACTTGCATTTGCTCGCTCACATCTACTGTTTTATGAAAATAAATAAATAAGGGGGTGTGTGTGTAAAAGTTCATAAAATACTATAAACGTGATGGCATTGACATAAAATATAGAAAAGTGGGAATTGGGTGAATGAAAAAAGCAGCTATTCCTTCACCAGGCTTCAATAGGATCCATAACTCAAAAAAAGGTAAAAAAAAAAAAAAAAAAAAAGATGCAACCTCTTCTACAGTCACCAAGGCCATGGTCGCAGCAGCCTGGGGTCGGCGCTGCTCTGACCCTGAGAGTGGGGCGCAGGACGGACACGCAAGGCCGCGCTGCAGCACAGCAGGTTCAGCCCTTGCAGCACCAGCATCCCATGTCAGAGTGCCGCTCTGGGCCCTGGCGACTCCGCATCCAGTCAGGCTCGCGGCTACTGCGCCTGGAGAGCAGCAGCAGATGGCTCAAGTGCTTGGGCCCCCGGTGAGGCAGACCAGGGCGGAGTTCCCGGCTCCTGCTTTCGGCCTGGCCTAGACTCAGCGCTTGCAGCCATTTGGGGGAGTGAACCAGCACACAGAAAATCTCTTTCTCTCTCTGACTCTCCCTGTTCCTCTCTGCCACTCTGCCTTTCAAATAAATAAAATAAATCTTTTTTTTTAAATAGAATTGATACACAATCCTTTTCAGCAGAGTTCAGAGAGGATTGGAATATTTACTTTTTATTTATTTATTTATTTTTTGACAGGCAGAGTGGACAGTGAGAGAGAGAGACAGAGAGAAAGGTCTTCCTTTGCTGTTGGTTCACCCTCCAATGGCCACTGCGGCCAGCGCACTGTGCTGATCCGATGGCAGGAGCCAGGTGCTTCTCCTGGTCTCCCATGGGGTGCAGGGCCCAAGGACCTGGCCCATCCTCCACTGCACTCCTGGGTCACAGCAGAGAGCTGGCCTGGAAGAGGAGCAACCGGGACAGAATCCGGCGCCCCGACCGGGACTAGAACCCGGTTGTGCCAGCGCCGCAAGGCAGAGGATTAGCCTAGTGAGCCCTGGCACCGGCCAGGATTGGAAGTTACAAACCCACACAGGAAACTAATTAGAGGACTGGAGTACCATACATAAGCTCATGCCATACTGACTGTGTGCCCCCACGGTTGTTGCCTCAGAGGTAACGGCCAGCCCCTCTGAGAACACCAACTGTGGAATTCTTGCTCTCCATACCACAAGGCAGCTATGGCAAGGTCTCTAGTTCAAGCTCCACAAACCAGACATGCGGCCCCAGAAGTTTGCCTGGAGCGAGCAGCACCCCCCACCCCAGGGTGCTTTGTCCTCGCAGACGGCACAGGGCCAAGCTTGAGCAGGGCTCGTCCTGCTCCCCAGGTGCACGGCCACAGCCTGATCTGAGGCCTGGCCATCTTCCAAGTGCACTCCATCAGGTTTTAAACCCTCAGAGTAGACGCTCCAGCACTGAGCACGGCCTCCACGGTACCCCGCCAGAGAAGACTGGGCCCGCAGGCTGGGGGAGACGGCTCTGCGGCCTGAGATGGCATCGTGGAGCGAGAACTCCACACAGCAGCACCAGGGCTCATTCTTCTGTTCACTGCCACCGGGACTGTGTCAGACCCTAAGAAAAGAAGAATTCTCTAAGAAGACTAGCTAGCCCTGCCCTGGGATGCCCAGAGTTCCACAGTAAGATCAGCAGCCCCATTAGTTCCCTCTAGACTGGCCACTGGCAGGGAATGCACGTCTCCTAACCCCAGGATAACGGCTGTCATGCTGACCTCATGCTCAGACGTCTCAGCAGATGGAGCTAACTGTGGCATCGCTGATGCATCACAGGCAGATCCCAGGGTACAGGCCTGGCCAGCTGTATAGCACAGTGAGCCACAGCTGTGGCCCAGAGACTGCATTCCTGCACTCCGTCCCCACCCTGTGGGGCTGTCGTGAGCTCCCACTGTCAGACCCAGACCCAGGCAGTGTCATCCTGGTGAAGTCCAGGCAGAAGCCCCTGCTACTTCTCCTTTCGCCACCAGGTGGAGCTTCTGAGCCTGCAAGATGGGAAAGACCGCTACCAGTCTGTTGGAACTACAGAGCCTCCTACATCTGCTGGAGGTTTGATTTGGAGACTTGAGCAATTTTCTTCGCAAATTACAGGATGTCCCAGCTCATCCTACAGGACCCATACATCTGCACTTGAGAACAAGAGTGACTGCATGGCACAGAGATGGTGGGAGTAGTAATTCCTTAAGCTCCCTCCCCAGAGTCCCCAAATGCTGTGTGTTCACAGTGGCTCTCACCAGGGCACCAGTCCTGGCAATGCCAATGGCCACATCCTGAGAAGACAAAGACAACTCTTACAGATGTCAGCTGCCCAGAGTCTCGGCTTCGTCACTCAGAGGCAGGGTGAAATACAGGGGCGATTTACTGTGAGATCCAGATGTTTGCACAGGTCCCTGACCCCAAAGTCTTCCAATCTTGTGTTCTAAAAGTGAAGCAGGGGGGTTGGATTAAGATGGCAGAGCAGGGAGGGAGCTTACTGCTCTAGTCTAGGAGAAGATAGTTTTAAAAAAGTAGAAAGAGTGGAGTCTCAGGGAAGAGTTAGGGAGAAAACAGTAGAAGAAACACTACACAAATTAGAGGGATACTGTGGACCTATGTGGAGGGCATGGACACCCACAACTCAGAGCCCCAGCAGCCGAGAGCCTCTGCACCAGCGTTGGAGAGTGAGGTGAGATCAGACTACAGCAGCCCAAGCCACTGATGAAAAAGTGAAAAGGAAATCTGGCATGGAGCCCTGTCGGGGATAGTGTACCTGCCAAACTAGAGGAGAAAAAACAAAGCGGGGGCACATTTCTCTCTCCCCAGCCACCTTGCAATGGCGTCCTGTGACAAGCTGATAGAGAGCAGGTGCCATTTCAGACAAACGTAACAGCTAGGGCAGCTCGTGTTCGCACCCAGCAACCAGCCAAGCAGACTCCTGAGTCTGGTGGGGAGAACAGACAGGGGCTTGGGTGCTCAGGACTGTAGGAGGCTTGTGAGAACACTGAGGCTGCATGGGAGGACTCAGGGTGTGGCTGGGACTCTGGGCAGTCACCGTGGGAAGCTCCACACTCTCAGGGCTCCTGGTTACCTGCTGAGGGGCACTGCTGAGAAATAAGAGCTTACACTGAGGACTGCGTAGATTCTCTGTGTGGTCCTTGTGGCAGAGCAGACGAATAATATACCCACTGGGGCTAGCGCCCAGGCACTGGTCTCTGTTGAGGAGAGAAACTCAGCTGAGTCTATGCCAACAGACAAGAACAAACCTCCCCTCTGATTAAAAAAAAAGAGAGAGAGATTTACCATGCCAAACCTGGGTGTGTCTCCTCAGACATGCCCTTCACCCTGGAGAACTGAACAGAGCTCCCTAGCCATACCCACCATATGCCTCTAGGTATTCACTGAAACCAGACACTACACTAATCTGTAGAGGAATAGTACAAAAAAGCCATCACAGCATTGTATAGCTCTGCATACATTCCTATAGACTTACTTCTAATGGTGCAATTTAAAAACTTGTCATGGGACCCCAAATTCCATTAAGCTAGGTGGTAAAATGCCATCTTAAGAGTTAAAGTGATCATATTAATTGTTAAAGTGATCCTATAAATAGGATTAACTGTTAAAGGGATCATATAAATAAGGTCAAGTGTCTGGCCATAATAATAGAATTAAAAAGGAGAGAATGTTCCAACATGGGAAGTGGTCCACACAGCAGACTCACAGAATGACAATTGCTTTAAATAGCACTCTGACCTCAGAATCAGCTCTTAAGGCATTCTGGTCTTGCTGAAAAGCTCATGAGAGCATTTCAGGCATGGAAAGCCAAGACACGTTGGCAAAAAATGTCCTACATGAAGGATCTCTATGAGACCCCAGAAGAAAGAAGTGGCCATCAAAGAAGGGCGTACTTTTCTCTGAAGAGAGGACAGAACTTCCACTTTGCTTCAGCCTTGTCTAAATACTGAAGGAGTGTGGGGAGCAACTCGGATTATACTGTTACTGGAATTAAGACTTATTCTATGCATCTGCTCTCCCACAATGTGGCGCTGGGAGAGGAGTGTACAGCTTCTACCCAGCTGCCCCTTACCAACTTGATAAGCTGCAAGAGCCGCTCCTGATTGGAGGAGAGCGGCGCGCTCGGCGTGTGGGTAGCAGAGCACGGATTGGAGGAGAGGACTATATAGGAGGAGAGAGACGGCATGGTGGTGTGGGTTGGTTGGAGAGTGCGTTGGAGAGTTCGCGGGGAAGTTCGTTACTTCGTTCTTTCTCACTTCTCTCTACTCATTCTTGCTTTGGGAGTTTGCTGTTTACTTATTCTTACTTTACTATAGAAAGGACTTGTAAAAAAAGGGAACAACAAGCGTCCAGTCCGGTGCGGCTCCTCCGC